AAAAAAAAAAAAAAAAAACGCTAAGGGACAGTGACCAAGCCTAGTTCAAGCACTAGTATTGCACAAAAACAAAAAATAATAGATCCCACAAAAGCAGATTCTGCAGACATCCCTGTCCCTTTCTGAAGAACTGAATCATTTTCACCTCAGCTTTGTCCCTACCCTGTTATTGGTTTACTTCATTTTTCTGTATTGTCAAGGAGCCCAGGAACTGGTACATATTAAACAGTTGCTTTAACTAGCTGGATGTATGTGTGTGTGTGAGAGCATGTATGTGAGCTCATGTGCACACCAGTTCTAAGGCTTGAACTCAAGGCCTGGGCACTGTCTCTGAGCTTTTTTTTTTTTTGCTCAAGGATAGTGCTCTACCATTTGAGCCACAACTCCACTTAGGCTTTTTGGTGATTAGTTGGAGATAAGAGTCTCATGGCTTTCCTGCCTGGGCTGGCTTTGAACCGTGATCCTCAAATCTCAGCCTTCCGAGTTGTTAGGTAGCTAGGATAACAGGTGTATGGTATGTATGCCATTGCATCCAGCTCTTCATCGAGAAGTCTCAAAGTTTTCCTGCCCCAGCTGGCCTCAAACCTTGATTTCAATAATTAGCCTCCCAGGTAGCTAGGATTACAGGTGTCAGGTACAGGGCTAGCTGTTTTGGTTTTCATTGCACAGAAATAAACAGGGCCCTGATTCCGTTCGCCCTGGGTGCCTCCTGCACAGGGCTTGCTGGGGAATAAGTAGGCCCTGTGAGAAGGGAGGCTTGGCAGTCCAGGCTGGCACTTGTTGTTGCAGTGGGCAGAGGCGCTGGGTGTGTTCCAGCAGGCTGCTGACTGGATTGGCCTGGAGTCACGCAAGTCCCTATGGGGCCAGTTCTGGTCAGCCCACCAGCGTTTCTTCAAGTACCTGTGCATCGCTGCTAAGGTGCGCCGGCTGGTGGAGCTAGCCCGAGAAGAACTGGCCAATGACAAGGTGAGCAGGCCAGACATCTACTGGCAAGCAGTGGCTGGGCTGAAAGGAGAGGGTAGCCATTGTCCCAACGGGTCATGTATGCCCCCGAGGCCTAAGCTGGCCTAGACTTTCTTGCCCTTATATTAGGAAAGGGCATTAGAGCTGTTTCCCTGGGGTGCTGCCTGGTGGTTACCCAGCACCCCAGATCCATCTTACTGCATGGGTTGGGACATCAAGATTGTGACCACAGGTGAGCAGGATAGCTGTCCACCCACAGGAAGCTTGCAATACCCTGCCTGTCACTGGGTAGTCTGGGACACCCTCCCTTCCCCATATACACCTGAGGAGACTCACAAGCACACTAGAGCTTGGGTGTGACCTGTAGTCACATTGGAGCCCAACTCAGAGCCATCCCATCTCCAGTGTGTAGTTATCGGGCTGCAGTCCACGGGTGAAGCACGGACCCGGGAGGTGTTGGATGAAAACGAGGGCCGGCTCAACTGCTTTGTCTCTGCTGCTGAGTGAGTAATGGGGGTTGGAAGGGTGGAGGACATCAGAGCAACTATCCCTTCAGAGTGAGACATTGACTGCCCAGTTTCCTGTGGTCCCATCTGTGGCCTAGCCTTGACTACTAGCCCTCCCACCCCCACCCACCCAGCAGCTGAGAGTAGAGACCCAGAGGCTTTGTGCCAAATGCCAGCCATAATCTTCAGAGGCCCTAAGCCCAGCTTGGCTTTTAAAGTCAAGGAAAATAAATGGCTTCAGCAGGACATCCTAGGGTCTCAGAAGGAGGCTCTGGCCACCTAACCTTGCATTGACTCCACAGGACTCCATGGGCTTCTGGAACTGGCCCTTGTGGGCCCCCAAATTCCCCCAACTCCACTGGCCTTCCCTACTGAAAGGCCCAGCCACCTTCCTGCTTTTCCTCACTACCCAGGGCCCCTCAACTCCTCTTCCCTTACCCTACCCCAGGCCTGAATTCCCAGGCTGCTCTGTCGCCTGTATCCATGTTACACCTCTGTGCTGGCAGAGCCACCTGGGCCCTGCTCTCCCTCCCACTTCTCAGCCCAGCCCTAGCTAGGCCTCTACAGGCCCCAGTTCCAGCTCCCACAGCCCTGTACCCATGGCCTTTGGAGCGGAGCCCGAACTCTGCTTCTCCCTTGCAGAGGCGTCTTCCTGTCCCTGATCCAGAAGCACTTTCCTTCCACCAGAAGGAAGCGGGACCGAGGAGGGGGCAGTAAGAGGAAACGTAAGAGCCCTCCCCAGCTCAGGCCTCTGCTTTGCGCCTGTGCCTGCCGCACTGCCTCTGCTTTCTGCACCTGTCCCCAGCTGCTGGTGGCACTCCATTCTCACCTTTGCTCCAGAGCCTGCTACGGCTGCATACTAGTTCAGGCCGCCTTGTACCACATAACTGGGGTTCTGCCAACAGTAGTGGTGGTCTCCATGTGGACCCCCCCCTGAGCAGCCCCCAGTGGTCAGCGATGGCCACTTCAGATAGCAGCACTCAGCAGAGTGAGATATGTGTTGCTGGGTACTGCCAGGATGGCACAGCTGTCCCCAGCATCAGCTATATGCCTAGCCTCTAGCCTCACCCTTAAGCAAGCACGCAAGAATCTCCAGGCTCCTGCACACAGCCTGAGCTGCTCAGATGAAAGTCGGTCCTGTATATACCTGCTGCATGGACCGAGCTGTGCCCCAGAAAGCATCCACTGGGGTGTGTGACCTGCTGTCCTCTCAGTCCACCATAGGAAGCCAGGCTCCAATTAACTCAGAAGCAGAAGCCAAGTAACTCAGGCCACATAGCCAGGCATGAGGAGCTCTTCAGCTCCAGAGCTACTCCCCCACCTCCTGCCATGATTCCTTGTATCCCTCCCATTTTCCACAAATTAGGCTTCCAGGGCAGTACCTCATGGGGTCCCCAGACTGCTGTCCCATGGAGGGGACCCTGGATATATCCAATGACCAACCCATGAGGCAGATGGAGCCCAGAGCTGCCTGGGCCAGGGAGGATAAGGGACATGAACATTCAGGTTGTCCGACTCACTCTTCCCAGGGCCAGAGAGAAGCCCTAGGGAAGCAGCCAAAGCTGCTTGCACAGACACTCTCTGTCCACACCAGATGGAGCCTAGCACGGTCACAGCACGTGGCAGTCTCCCCAGAAGCTTTTTTCCAGCTAGGGAGCTGAGCCTTCTCCCCACCGCCCAGCTCAGCACCCATGGCTTCTCTCTGTCAGCTGCCTCAGCTCTGCCTGGTTCTCTGTTCCTGCCATCTTGTCTGGTACGTGACCTTTGGCTTTCCTCACAGGGCGGCTGCGGGGCCGTGGTGCCAAGGTCCCCAAACTGGCAGTGGAGGCGGGTGTGATCCGCATCAGTGATGACAGCAGCACTGAGTCGGACCCTGGCCTGGACAGTGACTTCAACTCATCCCCAGAGTCCTTGGTGGACGATGATGTGGTCATCGTGGATGCCACTGGGCTCCCCGTGGATGACCGAGGTGAGTGAAACCAAGTCACCACGCTGACATCCTCTCCCCTGGCCACCCATAGTTTCACTGCCCAACTCATTACTCAGACTCTGTCCATTGAGGGGTCAGTGAAAATGAAGGTCAGAGTCATACAGCCACTCCGAGTTGGAGCTGCCTTCAGTCAGCCCAGCAGAGCAGTTCCCACAATGCCCTTGGCCCGCATCTCCCAGCTGGCCTTCGAGCCACCATAGCTCCCTGCAGTATGGCTTGTCCTGACCCTCAGGGGCTATGTGATATATATGCTTGAGTCCCCTGACCCTCTGCCCCACCCCTGCAGGTCCTCTCTACACTCCTCAGAGGGACCCTCATGGCCCCGGTGTTCTGGAACGTGTGGAGAGGCTAAAGCAGGACCTGCTGGCCAAGGTGCGCGCACTGGGCCGGGAGCTTCCAGTCAACACTCTGGACGAGCTCATCGACCAGCTTGGGGGCCCCGAGTGTGTGGCTGAGGTGAGCACCAGTGGCTATGCCTTACCAATTGGCTCTGGCAGCTCCTGCTGGTCACCCTGTGTCAGCCCCAGCCCCAGAACCGGAGCAGGGCCCTGACTACTGCATCCACACTGGCCAGCTAGACTCACGAGACTGGGCTGCCATGGAGGCATTCCTGTCTCCTCACTGGCCTGCCTTGGGCTTTGTCCCCTGCATCCTTGGGGCCCTATCCCCCCACCTTTGGCCTTCCATCTCACCTCGGTACCATGGGGCTGGTGATGAAGATTGGGCAGTTGAGAATCCTGAGACCACATTGGAGGTCTAGGGCCCAGCAGAGTTTCACAATCCCCACCACATCTGGGGCTCTGGTGCTCAGTGGGGAGACAAAGGAGCAGGCACCAGGGCCCAGGTGACCAACTTCTAAGATCCTGTCCCCGGATTCCTTCTTTGACCACAGATGACTGGCAGGAAAGGCCGTGTTGTGTCCAGACCTGATGGGACAGTGGCCTTCGAGTCACGGGCAGAACAGGGCCTGTCCATCGACCATGTGAACCTCAGGGAAAAGGAGCGCTTCATGAGTGGCGAGAAGGTGGGGCCCAGGGTGAGGGAGCTGAGGTAGTGTAAGGGCTCAGGACACACAGGAGACTCAAGGCATGGGGGCCACGGATCACCCCAGCAGTGTGTGAACACACATGCTTCTGTACCATATGTTCATGCATTTGTGCACTTGTGTGTTCATACAGGAGTGTATGTGCATGCACCTGTGTGCTTATGCATGAGTATATACCTGTGTATGTGCACGCACTTGCCCACACACATATGGGCATATGGCAGTCCTCACAGGCCTTCCTGGCCTCTCATATCCCTGCATTTCCGGTGGCTGTTATATCCCCAGAACCCTGGGGCCCCAGAGCTGAATGGAGTGCGGAGTGGTCTGCTAGCCACACAGGGCTGGACAGGACGTGCACCCTTCTTTGCATGCTGACCCATCCCCACCTGCAGCTCGTGGCCATCATCTCCGAGGCTTCCAGCTCTGGTGTCTCCCTCCAAGCTGACCGACGAGTCAAGAACCAGCGGCGGCGTGTACACATGACCCTTGAGTTGCCCTGGAGTGCCGACCGTGCCATCCAGCAATTTGGTGAGCCTGGCCCCCACTCAGGCTGGTTCTACCCTAGTGGACCCATGGTCCAGTTCCTGAGAACCCTTCTCTGCCTCCAGGCCGCACCCACCGGTCCAATCAGGTCTCGGCACCCGAGTATGTCTTCCTCATCTCGGAGCTGGCAGGGGAGCGGCGGTTCGCCTCCATTGTTGCCAAGCGGCTTGAGAGTCTGGTGAGCAGGGGCATTGGGGTCTAGGGCTGGGGTCCATGACCTGAGCCAAAAGAGGCTCCCTGGGATCAAAGAGGTCTCAGCCTAGACACACTGACAGTCTCCTCCACCCTGTCAGGGCGCCCTGACCCACGGAGACCGTCGTGCTACCGAGTCTCGAGACTTGAGCAAGTACAACTTTGAGAACAAGGTACCTTGGGGAGAAGGCAGGACTAGAAGAGGCCAGCCTCCACCATGGCTCCCCTCCCCCCACTCATTCCCGTCTTCTCTCCAGTATGGCGCCCGGGCTCTCAGCAGCGTCCTCACCACCATTCTCAGCCAGACAGACAACAAGGTGCCTTTGCCCCAGGGCTATCCTGGAGGGGATGCTGCATTCTTCCGAGGTGAGCCTCTTGACCCAGCTAGGGCTCCTCATTTTTTTGGGAAAAGCAGGGGAAGAGTAGCAGGTCTCCAGCATGGTTTGGGCACTCAGATTTGTAGATTAGCTTTGTGTCGAAAAATCTCATCCTTCACACAGTAGCTGTGCTGGGCACAGGGAGCCAGAGCAACCCAGCAGACCCTGGGTAGGGAGTTGTGGGGGCTGGGACAGGAATTTGAGCCTATTCCCAGAGCTCTAGTCTCATCCTGGAAGAATAAAAAAGGCAGACCTCCCCACCTACCGCCCACTTGTGGATGCCCCCTCCATGCCAGGCAAGGGGCAGGTGGGAGGGCTGGCACACCTCCCAGGAGTCCAAAGATCAGTTTGCAAGACCTCTTCCCACAGATATGAAGCAAGGCCTGCTGTCAGTTGGCATTGGCGGGCGAGAGTCACGGTCCGGCTGCCTGGATGTGGAGAAGGGTGAGTCTCCCCAGCTGGGCAGAAGGGGGAGAATTGCCAACCAACAGACTCAACCTGATGCAGCCCCTCCCACCCCCAGACTGCTCCATCGCCAAGTTCCTGAACCGCATCCTGGGGCTGGAGGTGCACAAGCAGAATGCGCTCTTTCAGTACTTCTCAGACACCTTTGATCACCTCATCGACGCAGACAAGAAGGAGGGCAGATACGACATGGGCATCCTGGGTGAGCTGTGGAGACCCAGGGGCTTTCATAGAGGACCACAGAGGGCACCTTTCCCTGCAGAACTGAGATTGGTAGGGCTCAAGTTTGCAGTGGAAAGCCTCTAGTTTGAAACTGATGTGCACTCATCCTTTATCCTAAAAGATCCTATGGCTGATGCATCTCATCATGAAGTCCACTTAGGTGGTTGTAAACCAAGGACTAGACTGTAGTGGCCACTGGCTATTGTTGTAGATCATGAGTACAAATGGTGGGAGCCATGTGCCAAGAAAACTTTATGTAGGAGCATAATCCTATTTATTCAGGAGGCTGAAGTTGGAGGATCCCAATGTGAAGCCAGCCTGGGCAGGGAAGTTTGTGAGACTCATATTAACCACCAAAAAAATCTGGCAGTGGAGCTGTAGCTCAAGTTGTAGAGTAGTCTTGAGCAAAAGAGTTGAGGGACAGTCGGGTGCTGGTTACTCACACCTGTAATTCTAGCTACTCGGGGCTGAGATCTGAGGATAGTGGTTTTCTGTCCAGGCAGGAAAGTCCATGAGACTCCTATCTCCAATAAACCACCAGAAAACTGGAAGTGGCGCTGTGGCTCAAGTGGTAGAGTGCTTGCATTGAGCTGAAGAGCTCAGGGACAGTGTCCAGGCCCAGAGTTCAAGCCCCGTGACCAACAACAACAAAAAAGGCTCAGGGACATTGCCCAGACCCTGAGTTCAAACCTAAGTACTGGCACAAAAAAAAAAATCTTTGTGGTGAGGCACCACATGCTGCTGGCTCACACCTGTTAATCCTAGCTACTTAGGAGGCTGAAGATCTCAGTTTGAAGCCAACCTAGCAAACAAATCTAAAAGACTTATCTTGTTAATCAGCAAAATGTCAGATGTGGAGGTGTGGCTCAAGAGGTAGATCTCCAGCTTTGAATGAAAAAGCTAAGCAAAGGCACCTGGCCCTGAGTTCAAGCCCCAGAATCAGAGCACACATACACAAAAACCAACTTTATGCTGGGGGCATGACCCAGGTGGTGAAGCCCTGGCCTAGCATGTATGAGCCACTGGGTTCAATCCTCAATTGCACGTGCACACGCACACTTTTTTTTTTTTTGGTCAGTCATGGGGCTTGAACTCTGGGCCTTGGCACTGTCTTGAGCTCTTTTGCTCAAGGCTAATGCTCTACCACTTGAGTCACAGCGCCACTTCCAGTTTTCTGGTGGTTAATTGGAGATAAGAGTCTCAGGGACTTTCCTGCCCGAGTTGGCTTTGAACTGCAATTCTCAGATCTCAGCCTCTTGAGTAGCTAGGATTGCAGGCATGAGCCACTGGTACCCAGCACACAAACTTATTTATAAAAACATTATGAGAGGCTGGGAAGGTGGCTCAGTGGTAGAGTGCTTGCCTTGCATGCATGAAGCCCTGGGTTCGATTCCTCAGCTCCACATAAGCAGAAAAAGCCAGAAGTGTGATAGAGTGCTAGCCTTGAGCTGAAGAGCTAAGGGACAGTGTCCAGGCCCAGAGTTCAGACCCCACAACCGACAAAAAAAATTTTTTTGAGGGGCTAGGAATGTGGCTCAGTGGTAGAGTGCTTGCCTAGCACCATGAAGCCCTGGGTTAGATTCCTCAGTACCACATACACAGAAAAAGCTGGAAGCTGGGCATCGGTGGCTCGGGCCTCTAATCCTAGCTACTCAGGAGGCTGAGATCTGAGGATAAAAGCCAGCTTGAGCAAAGAAGTCTGTGAGACTCTTATCTCCAATAAACCACTCAGAAAACCAGAAGTGGTAGTGTGGCTCAAGTGGTAGACCGCTAGCTTTGAGCACAGAGAGGCTCAGGAACAGAGCCCAGGCCCTGAGTTCAAGCCTACACAGTAGCTCCTCAAGCAGTTATACAGAAAAGAGCATTTAGATACATGTGACCTACTAGGCTTTCAGGTGACATGTGCAGCCCCCAAATGAGGAGGTTTATTTGACCTCTACTAAGGTGTGTGTCTTGACCAGGCTGTGTCTGTTCCATTATGTTCCATTATGGTTGTTGCTTCTAGGGTACCTTCCGGCCATGAGACCAACAGCTGCCAAAGTGCAGGCCCAGCAAGGTCCCAGTGTTAGACCCAAGGTGAGAATTAGCGAGCCCAGGCTCCTAGACCCAACTGTTTGCCTCTCATCCTCTTGTAGACCTGGCTCCCGGCATCGATGAGATCTATGAGGAGAGCCAGCAGGTGTTCCTGGCCCCCGGGCACCCACAGGATGGGCAGGTGGTCTTCTACAAGGTGAGCAGGAAGCTGCCCAGCTCCTAGCCCTCATCAGGCCCTGATATACTAACGCCACCCCACCCCTGGCAGATCAGCGTGGACCGAGGCTTGAAGTGGGAGGAGGCCTTCACCAAGTCCCTGGAGCTCATGGGCCCCTACGATGGTTTCTACCTCTCCTATAAGGTAGGCAGCTGTTGAGCAGCAGTGTGCCCACCTGACCTTCCTGAGGCAAGACTAAAGTGAGCAAAGGCCCTGAATGGGTCTTTCTCCAGAGCCCCACTCCTGAGAAGCAGTGGCCACCCCTGCCCAGGGTCACAGCTTCATCTACTTCTCCCCTCCCCAGGTCCGAGGCAACAAGCCCAGCTGCCTCCTTGCGGAGCAGAACCGAGGCAAGCACTTCACTGTGTACAAGCCCAACATAGGCCGGCAGAACCACCTAGAAACCCTGGACAGCCTGTGCCGCAGGTTCCACCGGGTAGGAAAGGGACAGGGCTGATCTCCCCAGGCAGACTCCCCAGGTCTGTGCCATCAGCTTATGTCCTTGGCTCCTGGGGATTCCATTCCTTTGGCCCTCAAGCCAGTTCTTGGTGGCCTGGCAGCTGGGAGAACCACAGGTCCAGCTGGCTTCAGGGTGCTTGGGCTGCCTGGGGCCGAGGCTCACAACCATGTGTACCCCAGGTCACTGCGGAGGAGGCCAGAGAGCACTGGGAGAGCAACTACGCCTACTCGCTGACACACTGCAGCCACACTGCCTGGTAAGGGCCAGCCCCACGTCCTGTGAGGGAGGAGGAGCCCTGCAGAGTAGACAGCCATGAGGCATCCAGCGTCTAGGGGTTCATGAAGCTGCACCTGGCAGGGGGAGCATTGGGCCTGTGCACAAGGGGGCAGGGACACAGGCAGGACAGGACAGGCTTCTCATACTGACCCTCTGACCCATCAGGAACCAGCACTGCCGGCTGGTGCAGGAGGGCAAGGACTGCACCCAGGGCCTGCGCCTCCGGCACCACTACATGCTGTGTGGGGCGCTGCTGCGCGTGTGGGGCCGCATCGCCGCCGTGATGGCAGATGTCAGCAACAGCAGCTACCTACAGATCGTGCGACTCAAGACCAAAGACAAGAAGAAGCAAGTGGGTGAGTGGGTGGGTGGTTGGGGGCGGGCAGCAGGGCAGGGGGAGACCCTGACCCACACGCCTGCGCCCAACATTAGGCATCAAGATCCCAGAGAGCTGTGTGCGCCGCGTGCTGCAGGAGCTGCGGCTGATGGACGCCGATGTCAAGCGCAGAGGCATGCCCAACCCAGGCTTCCCGGCCAGGCCACCCACCCCGCGCCTGCTGCCGCTGCCCTGCGACCCCGGCGAGGTTCTGGATCTGACCTACAGCCCACCAGCGGTGGAGGCCTTCCCGCCTCCGCTGCCCCGCTTCGCCTTCCCGCCACTGCCGCCCCCAGATTCCGGTGCACTGCTGCAGCTGGGCGCGCAGGACGCCACTATGGCCGACCCCGCGGCCTTGGCGCACCAGAGCTGCGACATTAACTTCAGGGAGGTGTTGGAGGACATGCTGCGCTCCCTCAACGCCGGGCCCTCTGAGCCCCCAGGCCCACTGGTGGGCGCAGGAGGCGCGGGGGTTGGCGGCGGTGGGGGCCCGGAGAGGCAGAGCGTCATCCAATTCAGCCCACCATTCCCCAACTCCTAGGCCGCCCGCCCGCTGGCCGGTGTCCCCTCTACCACGACGTCCTGCGCCCCCGTGGCGCAGCCTCTCCGGGTGCGGGAGCCCTGCGACTACTGAGGGCGCTGCCCGCCCACAGTGCCTTCCCCATCAAGCCGCACGCACAGCGGTCTTCAGGGCCCACTCAGGGCGATCTGGGGCGGGGCCTCCGTGCCTCCCAAGTGCGGCTGAGGCCTGGAAGCCGTGAGGTTGGTGGTCCCGAGCTGCAAACTCAGGAAACCCGGTGCTCAGGCCCCGCTGTCTCTGGGGGCTCCGCGGGGCAGACCCCATTAATATATGCAATCTCCTCCCTGTTCCCTAAATTATTGCCTGTCCACCCTTCCCTTGTCGTCCCCCCCCCCCCAGTCCATAGTCCATGGGTGGGCAGCCTTCTGGTTTCTATGTGTATTTATAATGAGCGCTAATGTATATAATGTAAAAACATTTTTTAAATATATGTGTTTTTGGCCTACCTGCCCTATTGTCTGCTCCTCCACTCTGCTATAGCTCCTGTGGCAGCTGCCTATTGAGGGCTGACAGATGAAACTGCCCGTCTGTCTACTGATAGGACAGCCTGGCTGTTGTAAGGGGACTTGGGGGGGTGGCTTGCCTCTTTGCCTGTGTCCTCCAGATGATTCCCCAGGGGTGCCTGGACCCAAGGTTCAGACCTCCAGAGCAAGTAGACACAGACCTTTTCTAGAAACCAAGGAACTAATGGCAGTCCCCTGGCTTCTGTCCCAGAAGCTAGGGACCACTGCAGCCTCTGGTCCTATAGCCAAAAGCTGAAAGCAACTAGAGTGGGCTCTTAGGACCCTAGACCCCTACCCTGCTGACCCCAGAGGCCAGGGGCCTCAGTCTCTTCCTCCTGTCCAGCCTGAGACCTTCTTGGCCACATCCACTGCTGAACTTCACAGGAAACAATCAGGACAATAACCCCCATGGCACACTAAGGAACAGAGGCAGCCCAAAGGCAGTCAGGGTCAACAGGCTGCTGCTTTGGAGAACTGGACATAAGCACACACACACACACACACACACTCAAGCCTGGACTGGTGACCTGATGGGTGCCACCATGCCAGGAACAGCTACTTAGGTGAGAATTATCTATTTTAGGAGCAAGCCCTGCCCAGCCAGGCCCTGCCCCTGAAGGGCTGGCCTGGGGGATCAGCCAGGGCCCTGGACCAGATGACCCAGATCTGTACCCCAGAGGGGCCCCACCCCAGGAAGGAGGACATAGGAGGCCAATTTCTACGTTTTATTTCCACAAGGCAGCCAGGGACACGAGTCCGAGCCCACGGTGCGGGACCTTCCTCTGGCGGATGCACGCCAGGTTTTCGGGTCTGCCCCACCAGAGGTTGGTTTGCAGGCAGACCTTCATGGTTGCCAGGGGAAGGCTCCGAGGGCGAGGGCAGGAAGCTCGGCAGGGCACACACTTGTGGGGTTAAAGGTAACAGGGCAGGTCCTTCTCTATCACCTGTGGGAAGAAGGAGGTCAGGGGCGGCCTCTCCCAGCCCCCACCCAGCCTGTTCCCAGAGGGGCACCTTACCAGGGGCTCCTCCATGGGACCATACCGCTTCACCACGCAGCCATTCTTGTCAACGAGGAACTGCCGGAAAGGAGAGAAGTGACCTCGGGCACAAGGCGGTGGGGCCCAAGAGAGCAGTTCCAGCACACAGCCTGAGCCCCCATTTACAACCATTCACAGGACTCTTACCTTGGTGAAGTTCCATTTGATAGCGCTACAACAGAACAACAGTGTGTTAGGGACTGATTTGGGCTGCCCCGACTCCCCCCCATTCCAGCCCCCCACCCCCACCGGGACCACTCACTTTCCCAACATGCCCCTCCCCTTGGGCTGGACTTTCATCCATTTCCACAGCGGGTGGGCGTCATCCCCGTTGACACAGATCTTGCTATACATATCGAATTTAACGTTGTAGGTAGAGGCAAATTCTTTGATCTCTTGATTATTCCCTGGCTCCTGTGCAGCAGTACAGACATGGGGAGGGGATGTACCACTGCACGCACCCAGACAATGTCCCCCCTTTTCCTTGCCTGTCCCCCTGAAGAAGCCACTCACCTGCCTCCCGAACTGGTTGCAGGGGAAGGCCAGGATCCGTAAACCACACTCAGCATATCTGGCGTGCAGGTCGACTAGCTGAGAGTAGTTTACGTCGGTTTTGCCTCATTTTGAGGCCACGTTGGTGACGATACATACGCAGCCCCTAGATGGGGTGGGGTGGGCGGTGGTCAGGCCAAAGACCAGGGGCTCCCCTCCCCCGGCAGCCCTGCACCCACCCACCCTGGGCGGGCACCTACTTGTATTTGTCCAGGCAAACCATATGCCCATCAATGTCCCTGGCTGAGAACTCATGCATGGAGCGAGCACAGCGCCAGTCATCACGGGACGCGCACTGCAAGGCAAAGAGAGGGGCTGAGAGAAGGCGGGGCGGGCTGGCCAGTCCAGGCTTCCAAGGAAGAAGGGTGTCACGGAAACCAAAGTCCAAAGGCAAAGGGAAAGAGCGCGCCCTTCCCACTGTAGGGCGCACAAGCCCCTCTACAGAAAAGCCTAACGTAGGAATGATTGGGACCCCCCTCCCCCAAAAAAAGATGCCACAGCGGCGGCGGAGCTAAGGAGCAGGCCAGGCCCCCTCCTCGGCACACACCGGGTCCAGAAGTTGGGTGCAGCTGCACGCATAGGACGCCTGAGCCGGCGCTTGAGGACTAGAGACCCTTTCCGGGGGCCGTGCCCGCCTGCGCGTCCCGGTGGTGCAGGGCCGGCGACGGCG